AAGTATACAATCAAAAGTTTAAGAACTATAAAAAAGCTTGGGGATTAAAGCAATATGTTTTACTCTTTTGCACTTTATCAATAGATTTTGTATCTCATAATTAATTAACTTTCTTTTATGTATATGCAATTTTAAACCCAACATGGAAAAGCGGTAAATCAATCCATATGGGGTGACGTGTCTCCCATGCAAATTCAACTTTTGGGCATCGAAAAGTTTTGGGTATCAGCTTTTCTATAACCTCTTCTCGGATCGCATGCTGCAGCAGCTTCTGCTTTTCCATCGACTTTTCTGCTTAAATAAACGCTTTTCTTTTATCTTGTTTACTTACTCAAAATTTCTATTTTTTTTCATAATTGTTTAACCTTTTTCTTTGTTTAGCAATATCCGAGTAAAAAAGAAGCTTTAAGCTACTATATTAAGTATAGCTAAATAAAAAGCCTTAACTGCTAAGCTTTCATCTTTAAAATTACAGTGATTAGTCTTTAATGGAAAAAATACAGTTTTGGTCCCTCAAGTTTGCACCGAATTCACATTTGGTCCTTCATGTTTATAAAAAATACGTTTAGTCCCTCATGTTTCAAAAATTCAATATTTTCAGTCATTTTTGTCAATTTTATGTTAGTAATAATGGAATCAAGAGTGTGTCCATCACTTCCTTAACTGAAAAAGTAACCATAAATAGACGAAAATAACCAAAACTGTTAAATTGTTGAAACATGAGGGACCAAAAATATTTTTTATGAACGTAAGGGACCAAATGTGAAATCAGTACAAATAAATGATGAAAACTGTAATTTTCCTAGACTTTTTAATATATGTGACTTTAGTGTTTCAAAACAAAAGGACAACTAATGTTAATTACTTCTATATACATGCCAACATAAGATGGTTAAATTTGTAAAAAAAAAATTTAATTAATAATCGTTTAAAACAAATAATTGCTGACATATATTCAGTTATTTTTAAAACAATCCTTATGTATTGTCGGTCGATTATAAAAATTTCTTCTTATTTTTATTTTGTTGGTTATTTTCCAGGGTGCAAATTTAGACGAATGGTCTGTTTTAATAGGAAAACCGGATGTCATAGAATGATTGACACGTGGATAGTTTAAATAAAAATATAAGGAGGATTCTAATAATTGGAAAAAAAAAAAGGAAAAAAAAAAACTCCAGCAGAACCCATAACCCCTGTTAAGACTTAAAAATGCCATATAGTGAAATCCGATTTATATTAAATATCGGCTCATCCGCTCATAATTTAATCTCTATTTTCCATGGCGGCTTTAATTGTTTTGCAAGATAAAAAACAAAACCACATCTTAAGAAAACAGTTTTTCCCCAATTACTATCCTTACTTTTACTAAAATTTAAATTTCACCATTAACTACTTTAATATTATATAATATATTCTTAATTATAATTTTTATTTTTATGCATTTAAATAATTTTTAATATAGTGCTGGAATTCTAAATTGACTGATAATATGGAAAAATAATATTCTTAAAAGTGACGGATATTGTAAAACGGAAAGACTATTATACTAACAAAAATACTTATATTATAATTTTTACTAGCAAACTAAAACAAGTCACAACATTTATAATGCGTTATATATGTGCGGGTGAGCTGGGGAACACGGTTCTTTATCTTCTCTCTTTATTCTTTAATATGACTTTATTCACAAAAGTTTGATCTTTTATTTATTTATTTTATTTTATATAAATCTTCCCTCTTTAATTAATTCTATTGTCTTGCTCTCATTGAATGTTTCTATTGCCTATTGGCATTAAAGCACATTCTTCATCGTTAAGCTTTCATATATCCACACATGATGAATATTTCAATATTCCAAAAAACTCTTGCTTATTATAAATTTCTATTTCAACACCACTAAGTTATCTCTTATAGTAACAACCATATAGTATTTTATTGAGGTGCAAATATGGTCTCATATTGATTTAATATAGAAAAAAATGAGATAATTACAGTTTGTGACCTTATACTTTACAATTATAATAAATTTTAGTGCTCAGACTTTTGCCGCCACGAAATTTCTCTTAAGTTAGACGAAATTGTCATGTGCGGCGCACGTGACGTCTATTTGGCAGTTAAAAGTCGCGTTGGAACATACCCTGAGTCTATTTGGCATATTACATATGAGATGGAGTGACTCGTCATTATATCCCCCTATTTTTATTCCGAATTCCTTAATTTCTCACAATTCCTAATACACCCTTAAACCCTACTCCTAAATTCCCTTTAACGAATCATCCAATTGAGGTGAAAATTGGCAACAACAGAATCGCCCAACCATAATTTCGCAAGTATTTTAACATTTGTGGAATTGAAATATCACAATCGTACATGATCTTCGATTTTAGTAAATTTCTCCAAAATTGCTATGTTTGAACTTCGATTTTGGTAAGTTTCCCCAAAGTTTTCGCATGGGTTTATAGCTTTAAGAGATTACGAACTTGGTGGCTTATTGTTTCAGAGAGAAATCTGGTTGGAATAATTTGGGATTAGGTTTGCTAGGGTTTAAAAAATTGAGAGAGTGAAAGAAAAAATGGGAATTTGGATTAGAGAAATTCGCTCAGAGTTTGAGGTAGACTGGGGATGTCTTCCAGTATGCAACACGTGACAATTCAATCCAGGTTAACTTGGAAACGTGACGGCCGGACCAAAAATGCCAAAAAAATGTAATTTTGAGCACTAATTTTGTAGCAGCGAAAGTTTGAGGACAAAAATCAATTTAGTAAAGTATATGAACAAAACCTGTAATTATCCCGAGAAAGAACACTTCTTTATAAGGAGGGGAAAGCAACTCTGCTGATATGAGATATTTTGGGGAAATTCAAGAGAGAAACCAATTGAATTTGATCCAAATTAGACAATATCATACCAATATGGAGTTTGTGCTAACCAGTGGACCCCAACATCGATATTAAATTCACGGCCCAGACTTAACCATGTTGTGGAAATTTCGGAAGTCATTAGTGCCGAACAAATATGGTGAGCTGCCGGTGCGCAAATAGCAGCCAACTCGAATAACTCTAGATGAGAGGTTTAGTGTTTCTTTATTCGAGGCCCAATACGCCAAATAAAGAAAGATGGTATGAGCCCAAGACACAAATTGTAAGGGGAAGCTCCGTAATCCTTTATGGTTCGACCTATGTGGTACTCTGTTCGAGGGGAGGATAATTCATTTCCAAGTCAATATTAAAGAACATCACATTGTTCAAGTTGTATATAAATTATATATATAAGTACATATATATTACGTATTAATTAATTTTAAACATATAAACCCTTATTGACGTTGTTATTTTTAAAGAAATTCAACATTACTCAAAATTCCTGACCTTTTTTCTAATGGAATTTATACAATCCTTTTAGATTTCTTCTTATTCATTTCTTGTCACGTTCGAATCGTGTACCATGTTTTCTTAACGTGGCTCAGAATAATATAAAACGCCATATTTATCCTTGGCCATCTATCCAATCCAGCTGTCAGTTTCATTTAGGAAACAAAACAAGTATTGAATATTTATTCCCAATCTTTTTTTATGAAACCCCATTAAGAATTAATACTAAAAATCTGATTTTCATTTCAATTTTAATTTTAATTTTCAAAAACTTTTTTTTTTTTTTTGAATAAATTCAAGTACTTAACAAGGGGAAGTAGGGGAGGAGGACTCGAATCCTAAACCTTTACTGCAGTTGGTAAAGACTAGATTTCAACTCTTCTAATGAAGGTGGGTTAATTTTAATAATCTTCAATTATTCATTTTTTTCCAAAAATTATCATTATTATGTTATGATTGAATAGAACATTAGAACTTCCGATTTCTGCCGGTTTCAACTATCGATCCAAACAAAAACATTTTTTAGTATGGAACAAATTTTTTGAGTCCAATTTTTTGAAAAAAATGATTTCTGATTTTTCGTTTTCAATTCCTTTTTAGCATGATTAGAATCGTTTTTTTTTTTTAATTTATGAAAAGGTAACTATTTTTTTTTCAAAAGTATTAATTCCATCCAATCTGTCACAATCGTCAACTATCTTTTGATATTTACATTTTTTGTGTAAAGTAATTTATCTAGTGAAATTTATGGTGCATTATATATAACAAACTGAATATGTAATTATCCTAGTTGATAGAGTAAGGAGAATTCATTAAATACTTTCTACATCAGGATCGTTGAACAAGCACTACCCAGTAAAATTTACACCTCTCGTATAATAATTTTATAATCTATTGTATGAAAACGGAAATTATCGAATGCACATATATAATTGTAGTTCCTTTGTAAGTAAAAAATATAATTATGTACACATACATAATGAATAGATGTACAACTATGTAGCACGGACACATAACGGTGATATGGAGAAACGGACACGAAGAAATGTTACATTCCACAAATAGGGATATGGGAATTTGGGGAAAACATATACATTTTAAAATTGTAGGGGGTATATTTATTATTTATAAATATGCTATCTAAATATATATATGTTTTTAACTTTTTAAATAATATATAATTTTTTTTATAGTGTTTTCATACAAACATATTGAAAATAAAATTTTACTATCAACTATCAATTTGTAATTGGTCATTAAATCGTGTAAATAGTTAGGGAAAGAAACAAAAATATTTAAAAAATTATTATTTCAAACATGTCTAACTTTTTAGAAATTGCAAAATGACCCATAATGTGATCGGCAGGTATCCTCGAGCGTTCGAAATACAAAAACGTTAAGAAGTTAAAGTTTTCGTGCTAATAGACATTCAGTAAATTATGCAAGGGTGTGTGTTATTATCCAAATAATATAAATATTTGCCGACTTCAATTCCTCCCATTCGTTACTAAAAATGAAATTATCATTAAATATTATATTTATATTTATTTGTTTCTTCTAAAACAATTAATTAAGAAGATAATTACTTTGGATGGAAGAAAAACTCCCCCACCGCCTATATATATATCTCGGAACTGCAAGCCTGACTGGATATACAAACAAGATATTATTTTGTCAAAACGTTTCAAAGACAAGAGAGAGAAAATGGCGGTTGAGAGTTGCGGTGAAATCTACGCGCTTCCCGAGGATTGCATAGCCAACGCGCTGTCGCTAACAAGCCCTAAGGATGCCTGCCGGCTATCGGCCGTCGCTTCCACTTTCCGCTCCGCCTGCGAATCCGACACCGTCTGGGATCGATTCCTGCCGTCCGATTATCGTGACATCATCTCCCGCGCAGTCGACGGCCCCGATTCGCTGCTCGCTGATATTCATTCGAAGAAGGACCTTTATATCCACCTCTGCGATCATCCCCTTCTAATCGACGGTGGCGGCAAGGTAATTTTTTTTTTTGCTCTGATTATCAAATTGATTATTTTCTGGATTCTGATTTCTGCAATTGTTTTTTGTTCTTCCCCTTTTTTAATCGCGAAATTGAGTCCGATTTTGCTTCAAATGTCAATCAATTTTTTTTTTAATTACGAAACTAAGTCAGATTTTTGGGGTTCACAAATATCAATAGATTAAATTTGAGAAAAAAAAAATAATTTAGAGAAGAAACCGAGCACGATCGACCCTGCGCATAATTTGTGTTGTACTTAACCAGGTTCGGTCGGTTCGATCGAAATAATGAGTCACCATTGATATCCGCACATCCGAGATCGCGGACTATTTCGTTTCGATTTTGTGAAGACAACAAAAGCATATCTATTTTTACTGGCTATACGTTTTATAAATAATCATTGAATCTCGGTTTCTCTCGCAAGTGAAATGCGATTTTTGTTCTTGCTGGTTGATGTGGCATTGTTTTAACACAATGCTGAAATCGTACATGCCTATGAAAGCCGATATCGTTAAAGCATTCTAAATGTTGCCATGGTTATGGTTTTAATTATTATTATTATACTAGGCGTCTAATCTGCTATTTTTGTCGCTAAACAGAGCTTCTCGTTGGAGAAATTGAGTGGAAGGAAATGCTTCATGCTAGCTGCAAAAGAGCTCTCCATTGTGTGGGGTGATTCCCCCGAGTATTGGCGATGGATCTCTCTTCCTGAGTCTAGGTAGTTAAACCCGTCAACTTATCTTTTTTTTTTTTTTTTTTTTTTTTATTATATTATGTATTTGGTGATTCTGACTTGGTTGTTATAACTTAGGTTTGCTGAGGTGGCAGAGCTTCTTAACGTATGCTGGTTCGAAATGCACGGAAAAATTAGCACCAAAATGCTATCTCCACGCACGAACTACGCAGCGTACCTCGTGTTCAGCTGCAAATCAAGAACCTACGGATTCGAGCACCAACCCGCAGAAGCTTCTATTGCTGCAGGTGGGTACGAGAGTGAAAAACGCACGATTTGTTTGGATCCAGAAGGTGAACAGAGGCAGAGGTATCAGATAGTACCGAGGCATATTGGGTCGATGTATCGTCGTTTTCTTGGCGCAAGAAGACAGCAAGATGATGTGCCTACGGAGCGGAAAACAGAGTACCCTAAACAGAGGAGCGATGGATGGATGGAAGTTGAGTTGGGCGAGTATTTTGTGAAGGAAGGGCAAGATTGTGATTTGAAGGTGAGTTTGATGGAAGTTAATGGTGGAAATTGGAAGAGTGGTCTTATAATTCAGGGGTTCGAGATTAGACCTAAAGAGTGTGAAGATAATTAAGTATGTCGTCTTTTAAGAGGTTTCGAATCTCGACTGGTCGAAGAAGCTTTACTTTGGCGTGTAGTTGTGCTTCCTTTGAGTTATATTAGTAATAGTATGTAATTTATCATTTTCGTTTTTTTTTTCCTTATCTTTGCCGGTAATGCAAAGACGGGCGTTGTGCAGATTGTTTCCGTTTTCTCGTTAAGATTTTGAGCTGATTGCTCTTGTAGTACTTGTGGACTTCAAATCTTGGTATATAGTTTTATTCTAGCATGACACCAGTTTTGTACTATGGATGTATTTTTTTTTCATCTATGTTTTTGTTATTGTTCGCAAAGGATGCGAATGTTGGTCGTTGCTTCTTTCGTAACATATGATATTCGTTTCGGGGAGTTTCTGTCAGTACGTGTTTGTTTTTTCCTTTTTCAAATGATTTGTGCTGGACTTAAATTGTGGGGTTGCAGGGGATGAATTATAGTGCAGGATGTACCATTCTTTGGAATGCGTTTGTTTCGGTTTATGCCTTGGGTTTCAATGTCGTTTTGAGAGCTTGATCCGGTTTAATATTTTTAGGACCCCCGATTTTTTTAGGATATTCATGCATAAAGAGAAACACAAATAAGTAAATATTCATACATTAACTAATATATATAATATTAGTATATATCAATACGAATAGTAGTATATAATCTGTTGTGGTCTAATATGTAATATCAATAGTAGTATATAGTCAATAGTAGCATATATCAATCTATATATTTCAATTTACATTATCTATAGTATAATATATAGTAGTTACATATCAATCTATATAGTAGTATATGTCAATCTAATATATGATTAGTACATATCAATGTACTGTTGATAATTATGTTGGATAACTATGATACAATGTAGATGTTATAGATAATTTAGTATCTAGATTAATTAAAATTGACAAATTCGTAGCGATTTAATTTTAGAATGAGCATTGTAGAAATTATTTAATTCTTTAGAAGTACAATTAGAACTAAAAAAAATACAAATTTTAATGTGGTTCCCATACAAATGTATTATAATCCATGGGAGACTTGCAAACAAAATTCAATAACTTCAGTTTTAGGAATACAATACTAACGATGAAAACCTTCAGTTGACTGACCGACCTCTTCTCAGATCTTCTAAGCCTCCTCATGAAGAATCGATCTTCTTTTTTCCTGAAAGCAGCAAAGCTTCAACTTGAACTTGTCTTATAAAATTCTCATACGAGAGTAGCACAAAATAAGAATATAAAAAGTATTTCTCTCAAAGAAGACGTGAAAAAAACTTCTTCCATATATAATTACGTTTTCCAAATGTCAAATTTCTCAACTTACACTTAAAATACATAGAATAAGTAAAAATCTACAAAAATGTTGTACGGGTGTACTTCAAGTGTAAAATCTACACTCAACAACAAACTAAACTAATAGAAAATAGTGACTATAAATGGAACTAAAAAATAGATGTTTTAATGCTCGAAATATTTTCTGCAAAAATAAAAACACAACTAACACTTGAATATTCTGATATAATATCTTATCCTGTTATGTTTTTATGGTATATGTATATTTTTTATTTTCGCCATGCTAAACCATGAATCACATGAACTGCCGTCGCAATTCACTTGACCACCTAAGAACATGTTTTGCTATAAATAGTTGAGCTCATATGCAATCAAGTGCAAGTTTTTGATGCGTTCCTACGGTCAAGATTGTTTTAATCGTAAGATTACATACATTTTAATCGTAAGATTATATACAACCAATCTCTAGAAAACTTATGCACTCTGAAAAATATCCTAAAGTATTGTAGGAATACCTTAGTAATCTCTAAATCTATTATAAATATCTATTGTAAAACCTTATACAAATGCAATAGAATCTCTGCATCTATTCTAAAGATGTATAGTAAAACCTTGTACAAATGCAAGACGAAGATAATGAGATCTAGCTAATTGAATTTGAGCTAGGACAAAGTCTTGAGCTAATGATACATTCAACTATGATTGATTCAAATTAACTTTATTTTTTTATTTCTGTTCTGGATTATGTGTGTATCAAATAATGACAATTTTTACATTTGTTCATAACTATATTTTTTCCTCATATTATATGCATCATAAAATAAGATAAATTATGTCTTTTATTGTGGCTTAACTTTTCTCGGATTAGGTGGCTCAATTAGTTGTCAATCAAAATTAATTATTTCCAAATTAACTTAATACATAACTATTTCCAAATCAATTCAATTCAAATCAAATCATTTCATTATATAATCAATGATTTCAAAATTTTGATTGCCGCTCATTTTAAAATTCAAATTTTGAAATTTTAAAATATTTTCAAAATTACGTAATAATCCATGCTATATAATCTCCCACACCAATGTGATTTTCAACACTCGATCCAACTACTTCATATTATCATATCCAATTATGTTTCCGTTTTAATATTTATATATAATTTGCAGCACTTGATCCAACTACTTCATATGATGATCTACTTCATATTATCATATGTAATTGTCTTTCAGTGTTAATAATTATATGTAATTTTCAGCACTCAATCCTTCACCTTCTTTTGTTCCAAATTTTCTTCCTCAACATGCACTCGATCCAAATACATATCATTAATATTCCTCACGTTTCTTTTAAATTTTGGTGTTTTTTTATTGAAATGTGATTTATAGTTGTAGGATCCGATATTTTGTAAAATTAGATCACCTTTCAAGCTTAATTTGAATAAAATATTAAAACACCAAGTAAAACTCTTTTTGGTACGCATTTTTCCACTTTTGGCACTACGTATGTTTCATCGCTATAAATTTTTATTAGTTGGATATATATCCCCTAATTTTATGCAATTCGTTTTTATATATGAAATTAATTACTAAAATTTTGGATAGCTTTATGCCTAAATTTTAATTACTCCTCATAATCTTCATTCAAATTACTCCCATCAAACTAAACCAATAATGTTTTTTAACATTATAGTTTCTTAGATTATTCCAAAATCTAAAGGGGTAGAAAATTCTATTATTGGTAATAATTGGTAGATGGTTTATTATTGTTTTTGTAATGATTTTTTGTTTAATAATTTCCATATAATTACTTTTTATTTACCCTTCATTTTCGGTCATAATTATATTAGTATCATTATTTGAGTTGCATCAGTATTAGTAGTAGCATTACCATTAGCAGTACCAATAGAATTAGAATTATAACTAGCATTAGTATATTAAGATTAGAATTAGTATATTAGGTTTAACATTAGTATATTGGGATTAGTATTAGTATTAGTAAATAAGTATTAGTTTAGTATTATTATTAATATAAATATTTGTATTAACATTAGGATTAAGATTATGATTAGCATTAGCATTACCGCTAGCATATAACAATTAATATTAGTATGAATATCAGTATGCATATTAGTATGAATATTAGCATTATGATTATGGTGCATATTAGAATTAACATTATGATTAGAATTATTATTGAAATTAGCATTAACATTAGCATTAGCATTAGCATTAGCATTAACATGATTGCCCTTAGCTTTAGCATATTAGGAATAGTATTAAAATTAGTGTTAGCATTAACATATTTTCATTTTTTTAATGATTAGAATTATGATTCGTATTATTACTAGAATTAGGATTATAATTAGAATTAATATTAGAATTAAGATTTGCATTACCATTAGGATTATGATTATGATTGAAATTAGTATTAGAATTACAATTAGGGTTGGTATTAGTATTATTGTCAGAATTATGATTAATGTTAGTACTATGATTATCATTAGAATTACTAATAGTTATAGTATTATCATCAGATTAGTCTTAATATTAGTATATTATGATTAGTATTAGTAATGGTAATGGTAATGGTAAGTGTAAAGGTATTGGTAATGGTATGATATTGATATCAATATTGATATTGGTCCTATAATATTTAAATTGATCCTGGTATTGATGTTAGTATTGATAATGATAATGGTAATGGTAATGCTAATGATATTAGGACTCGTGATGGTAATGGCAATGGTAACAATAATGATAACGATAATTGTCATGGTAATGGTCATGGTAATGGTAATGGTAAAGGTAATGGTAATGGTAATGGTAATGGTAATGGTATTGATAATGGTATTGGTATTGATATTAGTATTTGTTTTGATATTGGTATTAGTATTGGTAATGTTATGGAATTGGTAATTGTATTGATATTGGTATTGGTATATATTGGTATTGATAATTATCTTGATATTGGTATTGGTATTGGTATTGATATTGGTATATTGGTAATTGGTATTGGTATTGATATTGGTATTGGTATTGATATTGTATTGTATTGTATTGTATTGTATTGT